GGGATGCAAGTCTTGACTTCATCATGGATGTTTTGGCAGTATGTGTATGGTAACTCAGGAATCTCTGTTCCACACTCTTCCCCCCTTGACCCCATCCTAGCTTCCAGCCAGCTACACACTGAATCCTGCTTCTCTCACTCTCTCTTTACCCTTCTGTCCCAGCCATTTGTCCTGCTATTTTCTCCCTCTGCTTTGTGTGTTTTCTCTCAATCCTGCCTCTCTCTTGTTTGTCTCTTTACTTTCTCCCTGTCGGTGTTCCCCTCCCCTTGTTACTGCACCTCACCTTCCCTTACTTTCACGTCTACCTCCTCTTAGGTATACTGCATTTTTGACACTTTATTAGTTACAAGTCAATTTCAATCCCGGTTCCTTTGCAGGACATCTAGTAAATCCACCAACAGATTTTGGCATTATGAAGAAAGGAGCACAAACTTGTGATGGAAAATAGATAATGTGGCACAGTAGACTTGGCACATGGATCCATTGCCAGTACACGGTGCACGTACAGGTAGCTCCATGTTCATTCCTAGCAGAACCAGTTGTGCTATGGATTCAGGGTTTTCTGTGGTATTACATCAGACAAATTTCATTTCTCAACAGTACCACCAGTGGTCAGATTGTGAAAATTTTTCATAAAACTCAAAGACACCGTTCAAAAGTTTCAGCAAAATTACAAAAATACAGACACAATGCAGACATGATTTGATAATGAATGTATGGTTTATTACACACTAAAAACAAAATAGTTTATTTTCAAGACTTTTAAACTGTTGAACTTCGTCTTTAACCTGAAAATTTGCCTCCAAAAAGTCACTTGAATAAACTGTTAGATTCGACACCTGAAATTTTCCAAATTTGGCAAGTACAGCTCGGAGTTATTGTAAGCTCATGCAGTGAAATCTCACATGTACACCTTCTACATGTACATCTACTAGTGCAGCCATTCACCTTTCACACTTACTTAGTGCACTTAATACTATTCAGCTATCAACCAATGAGAAAAACATCTTTCAAAGGTCAGCTCAGGTTGTTACCATAATGACCACCGCCCCAAATTTGTCTGGAAGTGGTTGGACCAAGGCATTTGTCCTGGTTCAGCTGATTTGCATATCACAGTGGCCACATGAGGTCACTTTTCAGCTTGATTTCAGTGTGAACGAACCGTTCGTGTACGCAACAGAGAAGCAGAGGTAGCTTATATGGTGCAGCTAATGATGAATACCTTGACCAAGGCTATGGTAGGATGAAACACCACTGAGGAGATCTTCAATGTCAGAATATTGTGGGAGATATATCTCTAGCACCAGCAGGCCTTGGATAGGATACGGCATACAGCCTTATAGGCTTCAATGAGGAGATATAACATCAATGCTAACATTGGCCAAGTTATTGAATGCCTCAACGGTGAGGCTACCAGCACATCCCCATTGATGATGATTTTAGGAGGCTGGTTCTGAACGCATTCGACAGGGTTGCCTACTCTATCACACACTCTTTAACATTTTTCTAGAAAAATGACTGAAGTGCTCAAAGACCACTTTGGTACGGTCAGTGTTGGAGGCAGATTTATCACCAACCTTCATTTCACTTAAGAGATGCGAAATACATGTAATAGCCAATTTGAAAGTATGCTTTGAAAAATGGCCAAAGCTTTTTGTATGGAAATCAATGCTGAGAAAACTAAGTTGACGACCAACTACACAAAAGGCATAACTGAAGAAATTTAAATTGGAGGGCAGAAGCTAGAATAGTTGTTTTCTAGTTTCTGGTGTCTAGGATTATTGTCACTGATGAAAGCTCCAAACTGGGATACGGTACTTTCCATGATTGCACAGACCACATCAGCCTTAAGTAGGATGAAGCCCGTATGGCATTATGGTAGCATCTCTGTAAGTTACAAAATGCAGTTGATGTGCTCCCTTGTCACACCTATCTTCCTTTCTGTTTGTGAAATATGGACCATCATTGCTGATCTAAGCAGAAGAATGTGTCATGGAAATAAGGTGCTTCCACAAGATTTTGGATCCCATGTGTACATGTACACCATGTGACAAATGATGAGGACTTGTAGTAAGATCACTCAAGCCAGTGAATCTTACCAAGATCTCCTGGCTGCTCCTGAAAAAAAGCATAGGCAAGAGGAGAATTAGGAGAGGTGAAGAGAGCTGGTTAGGAAATCATCAGTATTGCCACAACCTCCATATACATGTACAGTATGATAGAGATAGGGAGATTAGTTACAAGAAGTGCAGATGTTAATATTAGAAAACCTACGATGCTTCTTGAGTTTGAAACAGAGAGATGGGAAGTGTACCTACTTAGATTTCTTAATTATTCTAACACTTTTGAAATGTGAACCCTTTTGTTGTTTTCTGTCAGACGCCTTTATGACTTTATTAGTAAAAAAAATTTCAAATGAAATAATACATACAGTGTATATGAGGAAACGAGGACAAAAGTGAAATAAACTTAAGAGGAGACAAATATATAAAGGACAAAAGAAGTGTATGAATAGGATGAAACGAATACATAAAGTACCAAACCAATCTACATAGAGAATGAAGGTACATTTAAAGGACAAAAGTGATTTGTATAGGACGAAAACTAATAAGTATATGACAAATCTCATATACAACTGACGAAACTAATAAATAGAGATTGCAAATAATATACATGTGTAGGACAAAACCAATACACCTGCATATATATAGAATGAAACTAATATTTATAGAACGAAGCTAAAAATATAGAACAAACCAAAAACAATAAATATGGAACAAAGCTAACACGATGAAGCACCGCCACCTTGACGCCAGACCGGTTATAGAGAGTAAAATGTAAAATATGTACAAACGAAAAAAAAAATATTTAGAACGAAAATGTAAAATGTATAAGACATAGTGCCATGTATCGACTGGTCGTGCCGTGCGTGTGCCATGCCTGACTCGGAAAGAGTTACACAGAAACTTGTCTTGGACAACCCTGTTTTCTAAGTAAATGCTTAGGAATTTTCTTAGCTACATGTACATTTCACTTTTTAGGACATGCAATCACTTTATGACAGCTGTTGTAACATTTTAAGGGAAAATTAATGCTGTCTGTAACTCTTATGGAACTGTTTCCCCGACATATGACTCTTGATGATACAGTGGATATCACAACATCGCACTTTACTAGTCATAGAGATTTGATGATACAACTGGAGCTGTGATCCTGAACCATGGCTCAAGAGTTGGAAAATGTCTGTGTACAAGAAATAGTTGACAACCTCCTTCAAACCCTGCTTTCCATGAATTAATTGCTACCAGTACTCATGTTATACCTACTGGCACTGGGCGTAGGCCAGTGATATTCACACAATACCTTACACTGGCAGTAGTGCCCCTGGCTGGCACCATAGGCTGACTGTCAACAATGTGGTCAATCACGGTCGTCATGACCTGGCAGCAACCCGCAACGTTACAGTGTGAGTGTGGCCCTAACATGTTGGAACAATTCAGAAAGCTCCGCATCACTTCAGAAAAATTGAAAAAGCTCTGCATCATGGTTAGGAGTGACGTTCATGAATCGGTCAGTAGATGGCACTTCATCTTATATATTTTACGTTTTCATTCAATGTATAACACATTATCTATATATTTCACATTTTGGTCCATATCACCACCGGTCTGGCATTGAGGTGGCGACGCTTCATCCTATTTATTAGTTTCATCCTACATGTATATAGTTTCATCCTCTGATAATTTTATCCTACATACATGATATACATTGGTTTTGTCCTGTATATTATTTCATTCTCTTTTCATTAGTAACCCTAACCTTCCACACAGATTTCAACACCAGTAAAGTGTGTGTGGGTGAGTTTGTGGCATTGGGTACTGGTAGCTTTCTATCTGGGGCCAATGTCACAGAGCTGCTTAAGCACAAAATTTGCTTATGTAGAAAAACCTTGTTTGATAAATCAGGTAACCAGCCAAAACTCCATGTGATGTATATTGTTTTGGGAATGTAGTTAGCTGTTTATTGTTAGCATGACAATCAGATAGAGTTTGAGGTGGTAACCTTTGTTTATTAAGCAAAGATTTTTTCCTGCTTTTCAAAGCAAATTTTGTGCTTAATCAGCTCTATGAAATTTGCCCCTGGTGTTTAATTTTGTGTAAATGTGTAGTGTGGGCCTGCACATACCCTGTTGGATTTTGATTGAATGGGTACTGTGGCCCTCTCACTTTTTGGCATGGCTTCTTACCATCAAGAATTTCAAACGAGTACTGCATATTTAACGACTATGTAATAATAGAAAGCTTCCCATTGTACCATAACAAGGACAATCTTTTGTTTCTGACCGCAATGATCCCAGCAGTTGAGGATGAATATGCAGCATGATAGTGTGTGAGTTTGTTTGAATAGGTACTGCCTGTCCGTACTCTTTGTACTGTGCAATGGGCCTGCTGTACCCAATCAACCAGAATTACACAGGTAAAGACCTGTTGAAGTTTATGTGATTGGGTACTGTGAGGTAAGAGTGTTTTTCCAAGGTATTGAAGTTTGTGTGATTGGGAAAGGTTAGGTCCAGCAGCCCTTGGGTAGTTTGGGTTAGTTTTGTTGTTTATACATGAGTTTTGTCACATATTTATTAGTTTGTCCTTTAAATTTACTTTTGTCTATTAGTTTTGTACTTTATGTGTTAGCTTACATGTATGTCTTTTTTCGTTCTTTATGTATTTGTTTCCTTTTAAATTTATTTCAGTTTCATCCTGTATCCTGTTCCGTCCATGTATTAGTTTTGTGATATATATTTTTGTTTGAATTTTTTTGTACTAATAAAAGTCATAAAGGGTGCCTCATAGTTTTCCAGTTTGGGGATTTTGCCTCCAAACTGACTTTCAACCCTTTGAAATATGACCAGTTTTTCTTGTAGGATATTAAAAGAGGGAGTGAGTTCATAGATCAGGGATCTCCCACTTTTGAACCCTTACCTTAACCTGCTGACCCATGGCCTCTTTTTATCCCATTTATAGGAGAGGGCAAGAGTCTTTGGATTCCACCACCAGCTTGACCCTTCACCCTTTGAATCATGACCTTTTTGCATTTTGTGCATGCAAGGACCATAAAGTGAGAATGTGGTCATGTAAGGTATGCACTGAGAATCTTCGCTTAACAATAAGCCATTAGCGAGTTAAATTTGAATAAAATCGGATTATCGGATTGTTATCGGATTGCACATAAACATAACAATTTGAATTCCCCATACTAAAGACACTGTTGCTATACCTCGTGATTCAGGACAAGCTTTTACATAGCAACCACCATCTCTGAAATGGACTGGTTCCTTTGTGCCTTTCTTATTCATTGAGAACAGTGTATTGTTGCAAGGCGTCTCTCATGTAACTAAGCAAAAGCTTGCCCCGAATCACGAGGTATAGCAACAGTGGTTTTAAGTCAGTGGGCTTATCGTTAAAAAAGACCTCCATATGCAATTTCAGGTACATTCTTTGAAAATTTCAGGAATTATTCCTAA